TATTCACCTTTTAAAGTTATTAAAGTTTCTTTTCCCATAAGAAATGGTTTAATTTCATGAATGAGTGGGGGCAGTGCCCAAGAAAATTTTATGATACGAGTGACTCCACCCCTTTCAAATTATGACATCGTTTGGCAAGCAAGTTTTTGATTAAATTTGTCTGTTACAAGTTTTTTTAACAACTTTAACTATAATAATTTCAAAAAATAATTTCGAACTTTTTAAACTATACATCTCAAAATATCCAAAAAATTATACACTTTAAAAATATTTTCTACAACTTCTACAGTAAGTTACATTAAAATTTTAGATAAACACCCAAAAGACTCACTTGCCAAACAGGGCCTATGGATATGTAAAGTACTATAATATTTGATAACTAACTAATTATTCAAAACAATGATTCTGATTAATAACTAACTCATTTTGTACCACGCAATTTAAAGAAACTTCAATAACTTGTATTATTAAAGAGAATTTATGTTGTAGAGATTTCTTTTTTCTTTTGTTTTTTTTCATTCTTTAGATTGACGTCGATGCTGATGTTGGATGTAAGCAAGTAACTAATTTTGTCTGATTGTTATTTGACCTCTTTTGTTATAATCAAATTACCATTTGACCCCAATATTTTTAGCTATAATATTCTATCCCTTTGATCAAAAAGAGTTTGAATGCAGTGAGAAGTTTGCTTGTGCAATAGCACAAAATCTCTGTCCTCAGCTAGCAAATTAAAAGAAATCTGGCCTCAACTAAGAAATTAAAATCTGGCATCAGCTAATAAAAGCAAGTAATCTGGCCTCAACTAATTAATGACAGAAAATTAAATAAGAAGTCACCGGAGTGTTTGACAGGCCGTGGGTGAAATGGAGAGCAGGGTAGGACCTAGTACGCGCGTGTGTCGCACGCACTCTGGCAAGCACGTGGAGGCTGAGTTGCTGCTCTACCACTCTTGTTGCGTGAGGAGGCTCGGCTGGAGGCGCGAACTGCTGGGCTTGGTCTCCTGAGGAGCTGGATCTGCTCACGGTGGAGTCGCACAGGAAGCTGCTGATGGCTGCTGGTCCGTGCAGCGCGCAGCGTGCTGTGCGCCTGGCCGCTGGGCGCGCAGGAGGCGAGCTGCTGGCACGGGGAGTGCGAGCTGCGCTCGCGCGAGGCTGGGCGCTGGGGTGCAGGCGACGGGCTGGAGGGGGTTGAGCTGAGCTGGAGGACAGAGTGGTGGCTTGCAGGCTGGTAGAGGTGGGCAGCCGCGCGAGGAGAGAGAGAGATGGGGTGTTGGCGGCGCGCGACTGGGGACGCACTGAAGCAGGCGGCGGCGTGTGAAGAGTGGCGACCCGGTGGACTGCAGCAGCGGCGGCTGAGGTTGACTGCACGGCGGTGGTCGTGGGCTGTGGGAGGAAGCGCAGGTGGGGATGGCGCAACGGGCTCGCAGGGGAGAGGGCTGCGCGCGAGGGCTGCAGCGTGCGGCTGATGAAGGAATAGAAGGAAAAGGGGAAACAGGGGAGCGGTGGAGAAGAAGAAGAAAAAGAAAGAAAGAAAGAAAGAAAAAGAAAAGAAAGAAAGAGAAAGAAATTTTTTTTTTTTTGTTTTTTTTTTTGGGAATTTTTATTTTTATTTTTTAATTGAATTGAGATTGGAAAATTCGATTTTTGAATACCAAAACTGAAAATGAAGAAAGAAATTACTTTTATTTAAAGAAAGAGAAAAAAAAAATTTTTTATTTTTTGAAAGTGAAAAATTATTTCCTTTGTTTTTGGGTCATCAAACATGGCGTGGGCACGCCACGATAGAAGCGCAATGGGCCACTGAACATTTCGAGAGTTACCTTAGCGGCAGCTTTAACCAAGCGTGCCCTCTCGCGTGGGACGCCAAGAAATTAAACGCTATCCTGACAGAGTTAGAAAAGCATCAAGAGTGACTAAGTACCACGTGAGAAATCGACATAATTAAAATAATTAAGCACTAAACAATAAAACCAATATTTGGGTTGCCTCCCAAAAAGCGCCTTTCTTTAATGTCTTTGGCTAGACATTATCATGTTTTGCTCATGGAGGATAAAATCTTGTGGCTCGTTTCAATGCTTCATCTTCAATGTGATCCTGGTAACCCTCATAGATGGAGTAATCTTTGAACACACGAGCTACGTGCTTCCATGGACTAGTTGATGGCACAAAATAATCAAACATTGATCGCAATTCTTCATCCACTCCTCCATCAAGAGCATTCAACGGTTCAAGATATTTGACCATAACTACTCTTAACTCATTCCTGCCATGAGACTCAAGAACTTCCGGTATAACAAAATCAATCTCATTAACAGAAATCATAGAGTCAGAGTTAAGAAAATACGGGTTAGGGAATGGAGATGGTGTCACCACATTTGATGATTCTTCACTGGATTCTTTCACTTGAATGGGTTGCTGTTGGAGTTCCATTTCTTCCTTTTCGGCTTCTTTTTCAACTGCATCTGTACGTCTCTCTTCTTGAAAATCTTGCAGCTCCTCATCACTAGTCAGGCGAATTGCACTCTCATTTTCAACAATGGTTTTCGAGGGCAATTCTTCAAATTGAGAAGCCAGTCGATTTATTCTGGATGTCAATAGACACATTTGATCTTCCAGATTACTCATTGCCTCCTTCATCATCTCATTTCTCCTTTGTGTCTCCTGTTGGAATTGATATGTATTAATAGCTATTGATTCAACTATTTCTTCAAGAGACATACCTGACATAGATGATGATTCTTGAGACTCATACGGCTGAAAATTCATTGGCCCTGTCGTATAATTATAACTGGAGTTATCCCACCATCCTTGATCATACCCGTTTGGATTAGGGTTATACCACGTTTGAGACCAGGGTGAAAAATCTCCATAATTATTGGGTGGGGCACTCAGATTATCTTGACATTCGGGGCACATACCGGTTGAATGATCTCTGGCATAACAAATTTTACAGGTTGCAGCAGCCATTCTTTCTCTAATAGAGTTTAGTGCCTCTGAATAAGCAAACTTAGCAAAAAAACTAGCCTCATTGTCTTCCCTGAAAACAAAATCCAGTCTATCACCAAAATACGGAGTGTTAGAAGCCATAAACTATATAAAAAAAAATAAGAGAAAAATAAACAAATAAAAATAAAAACAAGATGAACTCAAAAAGAGACAAATTAATCTGACACCAGTCCCCGGCAACGGCGCCAAAAATTGACAGGTGCCGAACCTGTACAATAATAAATACCTACTCGAGAAAAATACAGATTTTGTATATAGCGGTGAGTAGGATCGAATCCACAGGGACTGGGGATAATTCGTTTCTTCTAGAGTCCAAAGTATGGGGGGTTTTGGATTAAATGCTAACTAAATAAATTAACTGCGGAAAATAATTAATTAAAAGAAATGATTGAAGAAACTCTAGCCAAGGGTACACTTCAGAAATGGTTCATGCACTGATCATTGATGCAGAAATAATTCCAACATTTAGCAATAGATTAGTTATAGTTGTCATGCACGCGATAAACAACCAACCCTTCCTTAATTTCTCGATAGCTAAGGTACGACCGTTAGCTATTTCTCTAACCCAAAAATAACCCTAGGTACGACCGTAGGATTTAATTTCTAGATTGCATTAATAATTAGAAAGGCCCAATCCTAACCAACAAACACGCTACGAGGGTTTGTTTAAATTAGATCATATGCTCCCCTGACATAAACCCAATTACGCCAGTTGCTACTGAGGTAGAGATAACGAACAATTACGGATTCAATTACCCCTATTTAGCAAAAATAGCCTATATGAATAATTAATTATTGCGCACTAATCAATCATACACAAGGCCATAGCAATTAAAATCAAGGAACGTATAAATACCAATAAATGAAGAAAATAATTAAAACAGATTCGATCTCACAGTAATTGTCGAACCAAATCGTCAGTTGTCCCCTTGACTAGAAAAGCTTAACCACGCCTCATGAGAAAATCTCCCCGTTGGGGAATATTGTCGAATACCTGGCGTGTGTCAGAGGCCAGTCCAAAGAAAGAAAACTAGAACTAAACTAAAAAACTAAAACTAAAGCCCTAGATATCTCTTGCTTCTGTACGTTGTCCCCTTTTAAAGCAACAAAAGAAAGATGACTAAAAGCTATCTAGGTGGTCCCCACACATGTGGACAAAGCCTCCCAGTACTTCTTGTTCCAAGTCTCTCTACGTTGCTTTCTTTTGAAGCCCAAATGACCAAATTCCTTTCACTAGCTTGTGGTCCCCCACCAATTCAAGGGCCCAAGGATTGAAGCCCTTAGAAGTCTCCATATTTTTCACAAAGTCCCTCCTTTTTGGTAGTTTTCTGCTTCATTCCTGAAATTGATTCCAAATACCAAATATGAGTAAATATCAGCAATTAACACAATATTTGTCAGGGATAGAAGGGAAAATTAATAATAAAAATACTAACAAATTATACCCTATCAGTGAGGTAGCTTATGAACCTAGATTGGGGACTGGTCACGACCCTGTGTTGCGTGGAGTAGACCCAGAGGACTGTATAGCACGAGGGGAGGAAGGCAGTGTGGTGCAGATGCCTGCTTCAGCAGGAAATCTCTCATCGCGAGGTCAGCCTACTATTGAGGTGGTTCTACCTACCATCTCAAATGATGATCAGTGTGCGAGGGGTGACTCACTCCAGATGGTCCGAAAGCACAAGGGCTATCACTCAATAGTCCCAACAGATAGAACCCTCCGCTCTTCAGTACCCAAACCGCAGAATTCCTTTCAAGCATTGTCTGATGATTAGCTCACTCTTCTGGAACATAAGAGGTTTGTCCAAACCTTCTCATTTAAGACGTCTTCGTAGAATTATTTCGCAAAATCATATTCAGCTATTGGTAGTTTGTGAAACTCGAGTAAATTTTATGCTTGTGAAAGGTTTTAGGCAAAAACTCCATTTTAACACTGTAGTTAGTAATAATTCTGGCTCTTTATGGTTGTTTTATAATGACACGTTTAAGATCGTCATGGTGGGGGAGGGGGTACAGCATGCCTCGTTTCTTGTTTACCATAATTGCCTGCCCATCCCTTTGACTGTCTCCGTCGTCCATGCTTTGTGCACGAGGGAGGAGAGACGGGCATTGTGGAGTGCTCTGATGAGAGACAAGCCTTTGCATGAGCCATGGTTTGTTGGTGGGGACTTTAACGTTGTGGTTGATGCGGGGGAAAAGGAAGGAGGACTGCCTTTTCGTTTATCGGAGGCGCTCGATTTCTTGGACTTCATGTCCTCTGCGGAGTTGTTTGATGCTGGTTTCTTTGGTTCATCGTATACATGGTGCAATAATTGCATGGGTCGGGCAAGAATTTGGAAGCGTTTGGACCGGCTCTTAATTAATGCCTCATGCCATGATGCTGGACTCGTAGTGTTCGTCTCCTATTTAGCTAGGGACCCCTCAGATCACTCCTCTCTTTTGTTCTCTGTCAGGACACGGGTGGATGGGAAGCCCCGCCCTTTTTGTTTTATAAATGTGTGGACATCCTATGTTGGCTTTAGGGATGTGGTTCAAGCATCCTGGCAGAAAGGGTATTCCGGTTTTCCTCTCCAAATAGTTTGTTCTAAGTTGTCCCGTCTAAAAGCGAATATAAAAAGTTGGAATAAACAGTCCTTTGGTAACATATTTGGTAATACAAGGCGGGCAGAGGAGGTGGTACTTGTAGCGGAGAAGCGGGTAGAGGAGGATGGGTCAACTGAAACCCAGGAGGATTTACTGTGACAGCCCCACCTCACCCTAAGACGAACCAAAGGGTTCGGCGTACCGCCTGCCCAACTCTCGCCAGAACTACGGAGTCGAATCACACAAACCCGATATAGCGCACAAACGAATCCCCAAGAGAACAATCAGTCGAAAACTACTAAGTTGAGAAGCATGAGTTCTACACCGTCAGGTACCATCTCAAATGAATACACTGAATGTACATGATAAAACACTTATATACATACATCGAAAACTTTACGATTAAAAGCGGGATACTTCATTCAAAGACACTTTGTGTTTTGATTACACAACAGCTAACAAAAGAACGTTTACACCAGCTCAACCCTTTTCTCAAAATCACGGCTCAAAGTGTGGTTCCCTGTAAGGAAAACAAAGATAACGGGAAGGGGGTGAGTTTACACTCAATGAGGTACCAAAATAATAGCAAGCAAGAATCATGAAATTTCATATTCAATTAGTCACATATGCAAATCAAATAAAGAAATGAACAACACCATAGATAGAAAGGATACGGGTGGCTCTCAGGAGCCAAATTCCCATTTGCTTCACCGAAACTTGATCAAATAATTGTTGACACTCCGTCAACTTCCAAATAAAGTAACCAGTTCAGTCCAGTAGAGCACCACTTTGCACCAAAATCTCGATCACCACACATACCCCTTACCGGGCCCGAACACCTCAACAGAAACAGAAGTGGTAATACTCGAGTATACCGGAATCAAGGGTTTCAATACCCAAAGATTCCTAAAACAGACTACTGTGGTTCGTTATCTAATCGACCAGACCCTTGCCGGCTTGACTCGAGTAACTAGCCACAGGTATTGAGCTCAGAGGTCACAAAAAAGTCGTTGGATATCAGCCTCCAAACGACGTCCGAACAAACTCAGATACAGATAACAGATTGCACACAGTAAATCGGCATACAGACAGATAAGAGAACGAGTGTGATAAAGTACACTCTCGTCTCAAACAGAATAAACAGCTAGGACAGTCATTCAAATCACAGATTGCAAATACAGAAACCAAGTTAAGCAACAAATGAGGGGAGTGGTACACTCACCAATTCAAGTAAAACAAATTCAAACTTTCCCCCCCGAAGTACTTCCTGGATCACCAACACATCCTAAAATGATCAAAATAAAATAATTATGGTTCCTATGGGAATGACATTCACAAATGAAACTCAACTATGAGTCGTATGCCTAACCAAACGAACTACAAATGCAAGGGTGCAAAACCGTGATTTTGGAACGAAAAGATACCAGAGGACCTAGGGTTTGAACGACCCAAAAGCCCTTCATTTCTACCAAAAGGTAACTCAAACTTAAAAAAACCAAACGGCCTAGAAAATTGGACAGCATATCCCCTACATATCCTTACTTTTCCATCCTGCAAGCAACACCAATTCATCTCAAATCAACCACATACACAGCATAGACTCTAAAATACACCTTTCGGCACAATAAACACAATTGAAACTACACTTATCGGATTGAAACAAATTTTATGGCGTTTCGAAGCCAAAATATATACCTACATTTCTTATGAAGACCTTCAAAGCCAAATCATGCATTTTCATGGTCAAAAATGAAAATTTCCACGAAAACATAAATCTGTCCGTGAAACAGGGCTCTTGGGCAGTCAAGGGTATTTCTATCAGTTCACATACTACAGTGCTCTGATTGAGCTGAAAATTTACAGGTAGCTAGCTAACGTAATTACCAACAACTTTCATGTTTTAGGTAAGAGTTGATTCGGCCTCCATCATGGACTAACAGGTTTAGGAAGAATAGGGTAGGATGAAACCCTAAACTGGAAATTCCGCATAAACTCTGAAATTTTCCGCAAACAACCGCAACTAACATATAAAAGCTTCATTTTACACCATATCAAGCTATCATTCATGGCCAACCAATAGCTATCTTGTAAAATCAGAAAAAAAAACACAAATAAAATCTGAAATTTAACTAACTCTACCTCAAACCACAAAATCTTCCATAAACTAGCATATTTAGTCACTACAAACTACTAATTGACCATTATTAGGAACAAAAGTGAGTTTCCAAGCAAAATACCTTAACACCCCAAGAAAGGTAGTAGCTTAGATTTCTTTCTTCCAAAACAACTCGACCAAGTCCTTGAAACACCCTTAGCAAGTCATTTTTATGGACAAATTCAAGATTTAATCGGTTGATTTGCAAGATCCATGCAAGAAATGAAAGATATAAGTTGAGGGTTTTCTTTCTTTTCCTCCCTAAGAGGTTCGGCCAAGATGAGTAGAAATAAGATGATTTTTGGGTCAAAATTGAGGTATTAGTAAAGGTGAGAAAAGTAGTCAAAGTCTAAGTTCAAATAGGAAAGTGACACCTAGCACCTTTAGGGTTTAAACTTATCCTTTTGTCTCTCCAAAATTAATCATCTAAATAACTTCTAATTATCTCTTAACACCTAGTAAATTAATTCCAGTATACAAAACGTAACCTAATTGGTGGAATTTATCGCACTTAACGCCACTAGCGGGTCCCACGTCCAATATACACTTTTTACTTCTCATGAACTAACTTATACTAGAAAAATGATTCAAAAACTATTTTGACTTATAAAAATCTCAAAAAAATCAATATAATAGGGTATAACGAAGAAAATGCATGCGAGAAAATAAAATAAAATAATATAAAATAAGAAAAATTTACGGGTCCTCACACTCTCTCCCCCTTAAGGAAATTTCGTCCGCGAAATTTTCTTCACACGGAATCTATCAAAATCTGCACTAGACGGCGGATCATACCTTCTATGTTCTCAGACGAGTCAGAGACCTGAAGTTGCTCTAGGGAATTCACCCAAGCTGGTACTTTCAATCCAGTCCCTTTCCCTTTTGTATGTCCAGGGTTAGTCTTGCTTGGTTGCTGGGTTCTTTTCCCTTGGCGTAGTACAACTGGGCAGTTAGCAATCCGATGATTGGCACCCCCACAACGCAAGCATTTTCCCCTTCTTTTCCAACAATTCACCTCAGTATGATTGATTTTTCCACAATAGCCACAAGAGAGGTATGGAATTGAGATTTGATCTCTTGGTGAGGCCCTTCTCGGAGTATCTTCTTTAGGTGACCCCAAAATTCTCACACCACTAGTTCCCCTACCTACCTTAGCGGGTGGCCTACCTGGATCACCTTGTTCTTGCCTATGAATTTCACTAAGTGCACCCCTTTTCTTTGCATGGAAGGTCTTCACCTGTGCACCTGAAATTTTTAGCCTTTGGCTTTTCTCTGGCACTTCCGTAAATGTATTAATTTGTGGCCTTGCTAAAGTCTCTGCTAAAATCCCTTCGCATTGCTTTTTCAGTCCTATGTTCTCGTGCAATAACTCAATTTTCTCTGAGTATTCATGTTTCCATCGCTCTTCCCAGTACTCGGCTAATCTCTTTTGAACCTCTACTTCGTTTCGAAGCATCTCGATTTCCTTATACATACCAACCAAGTGTGCCATCTCACAGTTTCGGTGGAACTCAAGTGATAGCCTGCCAGGCAAGTTAATGAATCATAATAAGTAACTAGGTATAAGTGGCAATCTAACCATATAACTGTTAAGTTCCTTTGCTCCAAATTTAACTACGGAAGATTAAACTTAGATATGCTCAAATGAAATAGGCGGGAAAGTAGAACATAGTTAAGGCAATATCTTAAGATACTATACCACGTATCACGTATATACATATTGAAACCTTAAAGCATACTTCGTATATCAAGAGTGTCACACCTTATGCCACATTTTTGTTTCCAAAATCCCTCTACCTACTTCCAAAACTCTCAATCTCGGTACGCTACTAATCAAGCCAAGTTCATACGAGAACATTAGTAGATAGGTATCAAGGAATTATAGGCAAGGGTAGTTCGTCGAGGACCAATCTACGGTTATCAGATATCCAAAGCGAGGTAGAGACCTAGATCATTGTAGTCAGACCATCTCAAATCAAATAAACACTTATCAATTCCTCACAGTCATAGCAAAAGAAAACAGGTCTTAGGTGTGAATTCCACAATGTACCCTGCAATCTAGTCACCTTCTAGAAAACCCTAGCCAGACTAGTATGAGATTAGTCCATGATAACACTTTCAGATCCAACCCCCTCGATTAGGTTAATTACTAGGTCCAATATACAGATCTTCCGTGCCTTGTTCTTGGCCATCAAGACTTACCTCAAATTCAATCAAGAGACAGACCCTTATTCTAGCGCTCTCCACCCTTTGGTACTCAGGTCCAAGAATCTAAAACAAGATAATTCACAATTCGAGCCAGCCGGTCCCAAGAGTACATCATCCATATTAAAGATTCCTACCCGACATACATAACTATTGTCCCCAAAGTACCAGAAAAAAGGGTTAAACCTAGAACGTTTCATGATTCATAACTTATGCTCAAAAGAGTCCTTAATCCTTTACACCCATTCACGAAATTAGGATCATAACACCATTTGGCCCAAACTCACTCCGCGCAGAGATCACTCGAAATGGTTCTGATACCACCTGTGACAGCCCCATCTCACCCTAAGGTGAACCAAAGGGTTCGGCGGACCGCCTGCCCAACTCTCACTAGGACTACAGAGTCGAATCACACAAACCCGAAATAGCACACAAACAAATCCCCAAGAGAACAATCAATCGAAGACTACTAAGTTGAGAAGCATGAGTTCTACACCGTCAGGTACCATTTCAAATGAATACACTGAATGTACATGATAAAACACTTATATACATACATTGAAAACTTTATGATTAAAAGCGGGATACTTCATTCAAAGACACTTAGTGTTTTGATTACACAACAGCTAACAAAAGAACGTTTACACCAGCTCAACCCTTTTATCAAAATCACGGCTCAAAGTGTGGTTCCTTGTAAGGAAAACAAAGATAACGGGAAGAGGGTGAGTTTACGCTCAATGAGGTACCAAAATAATAACAAGTAAGAATCATGAAATTTCATATTCAACTAGTCACATAT